GAACAGTTTTTTCCCACAGGCTATATTCAGCCTGAACAATTAATCTTTCATAATTATACATAGTCCATCACAACTAACATAGTTATATTTATATTAAACTGCACACTTTGTAAATAACATATCTGCACACTAATAAACATATCTGTACATTTATCTAAACAATTAAATTTTTTCCTATACTTCTATTTCTGTATATAGTACATTATTAAATTTTTCTTATTTTTCTTATATTACATCCCTACTGTGTTATTCCTATGTATGTCTGCACTATCATGTATGTCTGCACTACGTTTGTACTTTCTTCTACACTGGAAGCTCCTGTCATCAAGTCAAATTCCTTGTGTGCGTAAACATACTTGGTAATAAAGCTCTTCTGATTCTGATTATACCCAACAAAAACAGCACCTACCTCTTTTTTCTTTCTCTCATCCTCCTTTCTTTTTTTCTCCTCTCGAATCTGGGCTAAGCGCTGCTTTTTGCGCTCAAGCTCAGCTTTCAGGTCACTTCTATCAGCCATCTTCTGTGTCGTTCAATCTATGTATAGTTTGAACAATTTTAGTTTTCATTTTAGTACTCGTGCACACGTGTGCTACTATGCCACACAAACTTTCGATGGAGAGAGACACATTAGAGACTATCTGTCATTTTGTAAAGGTATGTTTAGCGTCTACATTACGCATTTAGCTGAAGTTAAATACATCCAGCTTAATTTGAATGTTTACTGAGAAGATCAGCCTTTGTAGAGCCCCATTAGTCTAATGTACACAGGCACATATTGTGTCTGAATGAACACTAAATACCATATAAATGTTTAGGATTTATTTTAAAGCAAAATACATTCAACAATACATCTGTAATATATTAACAAATTAGCAAATGAATACAAACTAAAATAAGTAATTTACACTTGTTTGTAAATCTGTTTCGTGAACCTCACAAATTGCACGTAGAAATAAAAAAAACGGATATGGAAAACTACATTATAATAGATTGTATACTATCCTTAAATTCTGCAATGAGAAATTAGTGATTGTGGTCCATAAATGCACTACCGACAAGAGATAAAAACAGAAAACACAGTCAGGTAAACTAAAAACAAAATCTTGTTCGTTCACAAAAGGCTGTCGTCGCATTTCAATGAATCCGCAACAAAGCCTGTTGTAAGCTACACGATATAACGTAATAATTAAACTATACCGACTTTTTTTATTTCGACCCAGACAGGACAAAGTCTGCTGCGCTCTATCGCGTAAATACTGAAATACGAGGCTATGAATCTACACGAGCATCAACAGCTAAACGAAAACACAAAGCATCACCTGAGTTCACTTCAGTCTCATCAGCACCCAAAGCCGGAAGTGCTCAATGCCGCCGATAAAGAGACGTCATCAACACCTCCCAGCAGCAACGGTTCAGTTTGTCGTCAGAAATAAGATGAATGTTTTACAACGGAGTGAGGTGTCTGAACAGAAAACATTTGAATGCGTTTATGACCAGTTATAGAAGTTTATGACGCCCAAAAATGCAGCCTCGTTGGTCGACACGCGTTTTTTTTAAACACATCAGAAAAAGATTCAGTAAAATAGCGTATACATTTTTAAATAATACTTTAATTTAGCAAGGATGCACTACATTTATTAAAAGTGACAGTAACGACGGTTATAATGTTACAGAAGATTTGTTTTTTTTTAAATACATGCTGTTCTTTTGATCTTACTATCAAAGTGTCCTGAAAACTGTACGACGGTTTAGGTAGGATCATGTGACACTCTGCTGCGAGAGAGAAAAAACTGTTGCGTTGCCATCACAGGAATAAATCACATTTTAAAATGTATAATTATATTAAACTACATCAAATTATTTTAAATTGTATTAATATTTCAATATATTTTGCTGTATTTTTTTTTTTCAAATAAATGCAACCTTGATGGGCATGATATTATTCTTTTTAAAACATTAAAATCAGCTTTTCCATTACAGGAACACATTAAATATAAAAATTAATTGTAATTCAATTGAATATTTAAATGTAATGAAAAGTAAATAAATAGTTCAAACTGTTAAATTATATTTCATATTTTTTATTAATTTACTGACACATTTTTAAATACAAAAACATGAAAAAGATTATACAAAAAACAAATACAAATAATAAAATACATTTACAAAATATTAAAACTATCGTTACAATAAATCTGAAAATCAATGAATAATGTCCAGTTTGGCGTCGTTGTAAAGCAAATATAAACTGAGCATGCTTCTCATAGGATCTAAAATAATTTTCTTTCAGATCCTCTAACGTGTGCCTGGTTCCACACACACTGGTTGGCGGTGACCGTGTTGTCAGTGAGAGTGTACAGAGCTTGTTGAGGGCGAGACGAAGTCAGTCGCTCTGGCTCTGGCAACTAATTTCGTCCTCAGTTCTCTGATTTCCTGCATCAATTCCCTTTCCTTAGAGTCAAGCTCCCCTCGGCCCCGATCTAAAGAAACTATAAAGCAGCAGTGCACATCTTATCGCTTCATTAAATCATGTTTGGTTATGACAATAAAACTCAATGTTTATACTAATAATACTCACAGCCAGTAGAATCGCCTGACTGATTGATCAAGGAAATGTTGGTGGTCTCACTCTGGGTCTTGTGTAGCAGGCCTCTCAAAGAGCAGGGAGATCTGAGTCTCTTTGGATGATCTACAAACACACACAGACACACACAAATAACTTGATTACCTCTTGTTAGCATGTAAAGTTTAATAGACTTGTTCAACTCACAAGGAAGTAATTTTAAAAAAATGTTTCAATCAAAAACTTTATTACGTTATGTGAGAAGAGTTTGTTTTAACTCACTCAATGAATCCTCAAGACTCTTTTGCAGCTTGCCATGTTTCTCAGTCTCTTCTGTTTCCTGAGAGATAAGTGACCTCCGCTGGGCGTTAACAGTGGCGGCCACCCGTCTTTCCTCCTCCAGTTTAGCTTGCTTAGCTACTACATCATCCCACTGGGACCGAAACAATGTCATTGGTCTTTTGCATGTTGTATTGAAAGGAAATTATATTTTTAATGAAATTTGTCTACCTGATACAGCAAACAACACACTAAAGGTGCAGTCACATTTACCATTGTCATTGGGAATTTTGTGAGGGTGAAAGTTTCACAACAGGTTTAATTTGGTCACGTGGATGCACCACGATGACCACCAGAAAGCTGCTTGGATTGAGAGTGACTTCTGTTTCAGCTATGCTACATACATCACTACCGTACTGACAATATGCAATGGACATATTGTGTTTCATATTGTATCATGTGACCGCACCTTTAACATGTGAATTCTCACCTGCTTTCCCTCCACTTCCAGCATTAGCTGGACTACTTCTTCCTCTTTAGAACGTGTTTGTTTGCTGAGGTTCACAAGTCGCTCTCTTTGCTTCTCCTGTCTCTCCTTTGCATTTTCCAGTCGCTTTATAACCTCGGCTTGCCAATCAGCATCCACTTCCATCTGTCCCACCTCTGCCAGAGACTCTTCCAGCATCTAAAATAGTTTCAACTTTCAAAATTAGTCTCATCCAAACTTTACTCAACTGCAACACACAAGTCTGTTAAGCAAAACGAAAGGAAATACAGAAAGGAAACAGGAGCAGGGTGGCGTAAGATGTCTGACAAAGATAATCATATGCACTCCATGAAAATTGTAGTGAGACATACCTTCTTGTTTGTCTGGCTGACATCTGCATTTGCCTGAATGAAGTTTTGAAATGTAGAATCTTCGATCTCAGCCCTGCGTCTCCTCGTATCCACTTCTGCTCTCACCGTTTGACTCACTCGCTCTTGCTCTTTGGCCAGTTGCTAGTAGCCAAAACATAACGATTAGATATGATCTCAGGAGTGTCCGATCCTGCTCCTGGAGGCCCACCTTACAGCAGAACTAAACTCTAACCCTAATTAAACACACCTAAACCAGCTAATCAAGGTCTTCAGGATTACATGACACTTCCTGGTAGAACTCTGCATGAAGATAGCCAACCAGGAGAAGGATTGGACACTCCTAGTACAGTACATCAATGTTGCAGACATTTGCAAAGAAATAAAGTTTTTATAGGGGCCAACCTGTTCAAACAGCTGTCTCTGGGCATCCAGTTCCATCTGTCTTACTTCTATATCTTGAACGGCAGTCGCCGTCTCCTGATCTCGCAGTGCCATCTGAGTACCACAATAATGTAAAGAACCAGCAAAAATAACTTTACACAACTCCTACCTGCCTTTCTAAATAAAACAAAAAAACATTTACGATTTGTGAAACATACTACTATTGAAAAGTTCGGGGTCCGTACGTTTTTTTGTTTGTTTGTTTTGAAAGAAAATTTTAACTGTATTTAGCAAGGATGCGTTAAATTGATGGTATTTTATGATGTTACAAAAGACTTTTAAAAAAGTTTTCATTTTGATTCAATCCTGAAAAAATGCAGTAGTTTTTTCATAAAAATACTAAGCAGCACAAATGTTCAACATAATAAATGTTTCATGAGCACCAAATCAGCATATTAGAAAGATTTCAGAATCAGAATGAGCTTTATTGCCAGGTATGTTTACACATACGAGGAATTTGTTTTCGTGAGAAGCTTCCACAGTGGAACAGAATGACAGTGACAGAACAAAAAACACAGATAATAAAAAATAAAAAAAATAGAACAAGTAAATAAGGAATAAAAATATATAAATTGACAATTGTGTGTGCAGGTATATTTGTGAAGGATCATGTGACACTGAAGACTGGAGTAATGATGCTGAAAATTCAGCTTTGCCAACACAGGAATAAACAGAATTTTAAAATATATTAAAATACAAAAAAGTTATTTTAAATTGTAATAATATTTCACAATACAATTTTTTTTTTATATTGTTGATCACATATGTAGTCTTGATAAACATAAGAGACTTCATTCAAAAAATTACAAATCTTACCAACCTCAAACTTTTGAACCAAAAAATATGATTAATTTTCCTAATCATAAGTGCAGCAACAACACACAAGTACCTTTCTCTGGATCTCATCATCAAGTCTCTTGAGCTGGATTCTGCGCTGATCTTGCTGGTGCTTAAGAAAACGTCTTCTAGAAGAATCAATCAGATTGAGCTCCTTCACCTTCAGCTCACGCTTCATAGCAGCCAATCTGAGCAGAGAAGGTAACGTCAGGTGAACTGTAAGCATGTGTGTAACTGCAACATTGACATAGGTCATTAGCAAGAAGTCTGGCAGATGGAGGGAGACCCACCTGGCTCTCTGTTGAGCAAGTTTACTTTCCTCTTCCTGTAGGATCCTTCTACGTTGCTCTTCTCCTTGCAGTAGCAACTCCTGCTGTTTGTACCAGGCCTCAAACTCAGCCTGCTGTCTGACTGCTTCAGCGTGCAGCTCCTGAACCTCTTGTCTTTAAAGACAAACACCAGAAGAAACCTTTTTTGTAAAATGTGCAGTGAGTATGAAATACTCCATTCATATTCGTATTACAAATGAATAAATGTTTGCACCTCTCCCTTAGATATTCCACTTCTTGTTGCCGGATCCTCTCACGTTCTTGAGACTGGTACTCCACTATGAAGGTGGGGTATTTGTTGAAAATGGGGTACTGCCCCTGTGTCAGAGGTTCAAAGTCACTCAGCGCAGAGCTGGGATGGATGTCCGCAGGGGTGCTGTCCATCAACCGATAGGCTTCCTTCAGCATAGCACTGATGTCCAAGCTATTCCGATGATGGAAAAAGTACTACATGGGAGAAGAAGAAAAAAGAAAGAAATGGATGTATGTATTTTATGCATTTGTTAATAGTAATAATAATAATAATAATAAACAAATAAACAAATATACATTTGTTCCCAACGAGGGGTTGGGGGTCTGTAAGATTTTTTAAAAAGTTTTTGAAATAAAAAAAACTATTTACTTGATTAAAAATACCATAAAATCAGTAATATTGCAAATTATTATTACAAATTTAATAACCATTTTCTATTTTAATATATTTAAAAAAAAATATTAATTCCTGTAATGGCAAAGCTGAAATTTCAGAAGCCTTTACTCCAGTCTTCATACTCACACAATCCTTCAGAAATAATTCTAATTATAATGTTGATTTGTTGCTCAAATTATTTTTTTATTATTATCCATGTTTCAAAACGCTTTATTTTTGTGATAATATTTTTTGAGGATTCTTTGATGACCAGAAAGTTCAAAAGAATGGCATTTATTTGAAATACATTGTTACAAAATAATCTAAGTCTTTACTGTCACTTTTGTTTAATTTAATGTGCCCTTGCTGAATAAAAGTGTTAAATTAAAATTAGACATCACATACATATATACATACACACACACACACACACACATATATATAT